AATAACCTCCCTGAAAATCAGAAACAATAATTCAGGAACCACCTTGAAGAGTCCCCAAGCACTTGACCAGTCAAATTAAAGGTCAGTTAGAAACCTTTGCTTGGCTAGTCAAAATGATATTGTTACCCAGGGCAGTTTTCGTTCGCACTCTCTGTACCCGGGCACGCCTTGTTACTTAGACGCCGCATGAAGTCCCCCAACCCAGATCAGCACCAACCAATCAGTTTTCAACAAGCTTGCTTCTGCTAAATGGGAACCAATCAAGTGACTGCCAAGTTGGAAAGTCCCGTTCCTTGCTCAAACCATTAAAAAAAAAAAAAAACCCAGCTTTGCAGCTGCTCGGGGTTCCCTCCCTAACCCACTGCATTGGATGGTGAGGAGTCTGAGCTTAAGCCCAAAATAAAGGCTCTTTGTTCTTGCATCTTCGGTCAGCCTACTGGTGGTCTTTCGGGTCTTTTCGATCTGGGCATAACAGAAAATATTAGGTAGCTTGAGAGATCTTAGTGGGCTTGGAGGCCACTGAGGAAAGGCCCCTCCTGCACTGTCTCTGCATGCTTTCTCTGGCCCTCAGGGCCTACTCACTCATTCTCTGAAGTACCCCCATCTTCTGCCATGTATCTGCTTGCTGGCCTCCATCATCTTTCTTAGGCCCTACCTTAAAGGGCATGGCTCTGCTATCTTCCTAACTGCCTAAGTTGCTTTGATCCCAGAAACTAAACTCTTTTATCCAAGGATAAAAGACATGCTGACAGTATTATTCTCCTCTAAAATCCTCTATACTAGAGACTGCTCCAAGATTCCCCCATGAAGACAACACCCTTGTCCAGTGGAAAAGAGCAACAAGAATGTCCCCTTCCCTAGGCATCTATAGCAACTATTAGTGTTTAGGCAGCCTGCTTCTGGGTTGCCTAGCAACCTATGATGTCATCATGCATCGATGGCCAGGTACCACACCTGGCAGGTGTGGTTACGTTGCTCCTTTAAAGGACCAACCCACCACTTTGTCCTCATCTTGGCTCTTGGCTCTTGGCTCTTGCCCTCTCCTCTCTTGCCCTCTCCCCTTTTTCTGTCGGGGCATCCCTTCTTTCTTCCCCCTATCATGTCTTGCTCTCTCTTTCTCTCTCTTCATCTCCATCTAATAAACCTCTTTCATATAAAATCTGCTGAGCGCATCACCATCATTTTATTTGGTCCTAATATTGGTGCTTTTGGCCAGGAAGGGCTCTTCTGGTAGCACCTGGTCTGGTGCCAGGATCCCTTTAACTGATGCCTGCAACAGATTTATTTTCTGCTCTATATGTCCCTAACCACCTATGCCTTAAAACCTTCACTTTCTCTCAACTTCCCTGCCCTTACAGCGCACACCTGTCCTGCTGCTTGTGACTGCTCAGACTCCCCATCCTGCCAGGTGGCACCAAGCCCCAGGCACACAGTGTACACTCACACTGTACCAAAATCAGCTCATGCCAGATGCTAAAACTGCCACTTGGTACACTGAATGCTTCTAAACTGCTCAGGAGCTGCTTCAGACACAGACACAGCCTGCTTCTAGGTAAGCAATTGCTGGGGACCCTGTACACACAGATGGCTTTAAATTGCACCACTGCCTCAGGCTCCACAGGCGAGATTTCAAATTCTTCTCCCGAAGAATGCCTGCAGCGAGGCTGGCTTGCAGAGGAGGGTTTTCAGTTGTGCGGACTTCCAATCGGCCATGCCACGCTCACACAGAGAGTTTTGAACTGGGCTGAGACAGCCATCCCCTGAGCAAGCACCTGGTTTCACTATGCACATGGCTAGCCGCCATGTTGGTTTTGGGAAAAGGAGGGTGAAACCATGGCTTCACTGCCATCTCCACTAAAGGCAAGCACATGGTTTCACGGCCATCTTAACTTAGGGCAATTAAGGACAGTCACATGATTGGCCACCATCTTGGTTATAAAACAAACCAAACAAGCAAATCCTGTGGTTTCCCTCACTGCCAGCTGCTTTTACTACTTTGTTTCTGTCCCACTGTTTTCGGAGCTGCAAAACTGCAGTCTCTCATAGGCCCTAAAAGGCACTGCCTCCATTCTAAAGCTGCCTATCTGCCCCTATCCTTTCCTGTGGATGATATTCCCTCCAGGAGAACTTGGCCTTACTGCTAACAAAGCCCTGGTACCAGGCACTGAGGTTCTTGGGCTTAGCAACAAGCCTCATTTTAAATTGGTATGGATTTTTATAAAAATTCATATGTTTTACAACATATATAATTTAACCCTGGTTCAATAATGCTAAAATTTCAAACTTATAAAGGTCTATTCAAATTAAGCTAATTTAAAATGTACATCTAACTGCCTATGTCTTTATCAATTCCTAAATTAATAAATGCTATTTCTCCTGCCATGAGCTGCTTATGATCCAGACTCACCACTAGGCTTTCTGGCTAATGTGTTTGCAATAATAAGTTCAAGTGTAATTTTTAAATTGCTTTATACTGTTTGTTTAAAAACTCATAACTCAGGGGTTACTACATACAAGTTTTTACCAATACTCTAAATTAAAATCTATTAATTTTAGAGGAATGTATTTATTAATGTTAAAACTTGGTCATTGTGCTATATCTTTACTATCAAAAGATTAAAGTATGTCTGGTCTTGTTTCTAAAAATGGTATTACTATGAATATATAGTATAGCCTTAGACTTTTATAAGTGACAAACTTTTTATGTACTAAATCATACAAAAAAAAAAAAAACAAACAAACTGTTGGGCTCACCTGTATCTCATGGTAAATTACTAGATAGAAAGGCCTTAAAAAATGTTGTTTGAGGGCCTAAGAAAGTATCTTAAGGTTGGTAAATACAAGTTATACATGTTTGAGAGTCTAAGAAAGTGTTTTAAGGTTGGTAAATACAAGTTACAAATGTTTGAGGGTCTAAGAGAGTGTTTTAAGGTTGGTAAATGCAAGTTATAAAGGTTGCAAGGTCTAAGGTGATTTAAAGTATCCTAAATAAGTAAAAAGGCTTAATATTTCCTGCTGTTGCTATGCTACTGTTATATTGACTGTCCAGAGCTTTGATCTTTATCAATAGAGCCCTGATTTATTAATTTAACTCTAATACAAAACATTCTGCTATACTATCATGGTTCCAAGCTCAAGATTTTAAATCTCCATAATGTATACTTATAATAAAGGTTAAGATCAAGTGATCTTCCCCTTCTACTTCACGAAAGGCTTCTGCCTTTTCAGAGCTCACCTTAAAGAATGCTTATGTTGTTAACACAAATGTGTATGTCTACTGCCTTTTCTACAATGTACATTTCAGTGCAGATTACAATTATGATGCTAACATGTCTAAAGTTTTATCTCCTTTGTAAAACTTAAAAGTAATTCTTATAAGCTGCAGGAAATCCACCTGAATACACCTCTCAGGTCAATTGGGCTCCAGATAAGTACTTATTGCCTATCTCAGAAGTTGGGATTCCCCCCTTTCCCTGGTTTTGGGACTTCCCTTTCCTGGCTACTTGATTGCTATCTGCTGCATGCAACACTGGCTGGATTGGTGGGTTCCCCTCATTGATCAGCATAAAATGCCTCTCTTGGTAGGGGAAGCATGACTCTTGAGCGTCCAGCAACATCCTAGTACCTTTTGAGATGGAGGAACCCCCCCCCAACCAAGGTCTTCACTGGCTACAGTTGACCCTTTTTGCTGACCTCCATTTGGGACTTCCTCTTTCCCTTGGGAGAGATTTTTTTCCCTCTACATGCACAGTTTCTCCCCCTCATACTCACCTACGAAAATCCTAGTGCTAGGTAAACTGTGTCTCCTACAGGAGGCTGTGCCCTTGGTCTCTGGCCAACACTGATGAGTTGTTGGATCAGGTAGGATCATACCCTACTAAGCCAAACCTTGCTCTTGGACACCTTGACAGGTCACTGACTCCTACCCTCCCAATGGAAATAGTCCATTTGTCCATTCCTCCAGGCATCCCTCTGGGATGTCTTCTGGAGAACTTCAGGTTTCTACACCTAGTGCCCGCTTTAAGGGCCTCTAAGTTTACACACTTCTGTAACCGAACTTGGTCTCAAATTCCTTAAATGACATATCCAAAGCAAAGCCTTTTTAATTACTGCCAATGATTGGGTAAATGGAGGTTCCCTCAGGTAAATGAAGGTTCCCATGTTCAAGTCTCTTTGATCCAAACCTTCCACATCTGTTTTCTCTCTCAAAAAATTTTATATGTACACCTAAAGAATTTTCTCCATAACCTACTTAACTTTATCTTCTGCCTATATATATGTCTCAGTATCCTGCCAGACACAGATGTTTCCTATATCTGCAACAGCACCAAAGCAGCTACCACAAGTGTTCCAGTCTGACCTCACAGACTTCCATCAAGCTGGACCTGCACTTTCCCTCCCAGACATGGATGCTCTTACAGACCCTGGACAGCATCAAAACAGCCTGTTCTCCTGGACTTGGCCAGCATTTCAGCCTTTTAACCCCCTACAGTGCTCCCAGTGTCAGCAGGAAGTAGCCAGAAGAGAATCTATGCCTGTTCACTTGTTTTTAACAAAAGGCCGGAATAGTGTGCTTCAGGACCAGGACAAGCAGCTCCAGGTTCTCCCAGCATTCCTCAGTCCCTACCTGCTGCCTTGCATGGCTGGCAACTCTCTACTGGCAACCCTCCATCCTAAATATTATGGGCAGGGGCTTCCGCTCCTGCTCTTGACTATGTAATCTGGACAATTTATTGCTATTATTTTTTCTCTCTCTCTTAACCCCTTGTATGGCAACCAAGAGTTGCTTCCAATGAACCTAAATTTATATACTTTAACTTGACTTATATGAGAAGCAGCTTAAGTTTCTCATTTTTTAATTATAGAAAAAGGGAGGAATGTTAGTATTTCGGCAGCCTGCTTCTGGGTTGCCTAGCAACCTATGATGTCATCATGTATCAATGGCCAGGTAGACACACCTGGCAGGTGTGGTTACATTGCTCCTTAAAAGGACCAACGCAGTGCTCACTTCAGCATCACATATACTAAAATTGGGATGATACAGAGAAGATTAGCATGGCCCCTGTGCAAGAAAGAAACATAAATTTATGAAGCGTTTCATATTTTTGTGGGTCAATGGAACTTAATAGAAGACCAGGAAATAAACCCACACACCTACGGATTCTTGACTTTTGACAAAGAAGCCCAAACCATACAATATAAAAAAGACAGCATCTTCAGCAAATGGTGCTCGTCTAACTGGATGTCTACATGCAAAAAAAAAAAAAAAAAAAAAAAAAAAAAAAAAAAAAAAAAAAAAA